AACAACTTGTAACAAGCTTGATGGCATTATCAGACTTGTTACAAGGTTGTTCTAACAAGTCTGATACAGTCATGATATAACAAAAATGTTACAAGGTTGTGACGACACAAGGTTGTAACAATATTGTTATATCACGACTGTATCGGACTTGTTGGAACAACTTTGTATAACAAGTCTGATAATATCAACAAGGTTGTTAAAAATTGTTAACAGTTTGTTCCAAATTGTTGACAACTTGTTGTTGACGGCTTGTTAGCAGACTTGCTACAAGATGTGAGATTCTACGTGTGTAGGAAATAATCAGAGATTGTGCAATGATTGCCTTGACACGTGACATACTTGATATGCTTGACAAATGATACGTGTTTGCACGCATGTAGAAGCTATGACTTCTTAGAAAGATATTTCCCTGAAAACGTTTTCCTAAAAACAGCAACCATGATTTTTCCTGGAATTACATGCGTAAATATTTTATTAATTGCTTTCTCTTTCAACCCTCACAGATATTGCCACGCCTAACATGGACGACAATTATCATTCAAACCAACTTAGTTGAATCGCGATGACCGCCATATTGTGAGTTAAATAGGACAATAATGAACATATTGTACAGTGTGTCTTTGCCGCCCTTAGTCATTGCCGACATGCCACAAAATATATAGAATCGCGGTCTCTTCAAATATTTCCATTTTTATGCTGGTAGATTACGCACACTAACTAAAACCAATGACCTTTAAATAAAACTGGTTATGGTTAAACTGGTTCAGTATTCGAAATAATAAACGAAAATATTTCCTAAACTGAAAATTCGACTGATGTGAAATTGTTCGTGCGCACTGCATGTAATTACACAGCACTGACGTGGCAAAAGTCACAAATATTTAGGCAGTTGTAGTTTACATGTGAACAAGCTTTCGTTGGTATAGAGATGCAACTAACTGAAAATATAGAAGGAGAATTTCGACGTTTCGAGCGAAGGCCCTTCGTCTTGTAAATAAGTTTCGTTTGATTTAAAATGATCTGCATGTGATAACTGGAAGTTGAAAACGCGAAACGGTGGAGACACACTATTTGTTGCTACTAAAAAACCTTTGCAGTAGAGGGTAAGTAAAGTTTCCTCGATAGCGGCATTCGAGTACGATTCGCGTGCAAGGCACATGCCACATTGTAGTATTGTCAGCAGGTTACAACAGGTAGCAAAGCCCAGGCATTCAAGCGAGTCCATCAAGACGGTCCAATACTATCTAACATAGTAACATTGCATGTTGGATTCGACATTGGTAGCTGTTTGGGCACAGGCTGATCTTAAAAGACATTGGATCATGTCAGGGACTAATTCATCAGATTCAGTATTGTCGGATCTGCAATGTCGGACGGTGTTGCACTGATTTGAACACACTTTAATGCAACGCAACAATTAGGCAGACACATCGCAACCTTCTGAATACTATTTGCATATAACCATGAAGTTTATACATACCTTCTGCAGCCATTTCGTAAAGAACTGATGCCTCGTGTAGCCTTTGTTAGATTGTTTCGCTCGGCGTTCCGAATGAAGTTTCGCTTTGGAAACGTTCCCAGATATATAGTATTATAAATGCCGCAATCACTGCGGGGTTCCAGCCAAGCCTCAGTGCAAATGCAAATAAGATCTTTCGGTTGGTGCACACGTTTCAATAATAATTAACTATTTCACAAAACAACGACGTAAATTGAAAGTGAAATAAAAAATCGGTTCTTTCGTAACATTCGAACATTCCGTTATGAAAGTTACGCTGGTGACGCACTCAGATTTCAAAGAATAGGTTTTCCACGAAAAATTTAAATTTAAAAATACCACGATATTTATTATTTATAACATGCGATTTGAAGTCCGATATTATCCTTTGATTGTCATAGACTAAACAAATGGCTTAAGTTGAAATCAAAAGAAGTATGCAATTACGATGCTTTGTGTTTGTATTTCGCTTTTATTTCTTTGTTAAATTAACACGAGGACTTCTTGTTTCCAACTGAGCCCAAAAAATCCGAGATAGTGCATGAGAGTTGGCGCAGACACGCGATCTGGCCAGTTAGCTACAATCATGGATTAACTACCTTGAGACCATTCCAGCCAATATTGCAAAGTTAATGCACATTGAGTAAAATAAATTTCGTCACCCCCTCTCCCCCAGTTCAATAAACAACGCCGTAAACAACTTTTGCTAGTTACTATCACAAGCTCAACATTGAGTTGGGAAGCAGGCGATTAAGAAGCCGCAACATGATTTATCAGTAACATAGAATTTATCATTCGGCTAATCAATCGCTGGCTATTCAATAGCGAGGTCTCGCCTAGCAACGCTGACCTTTTGTACAAAGCGGAAAACAACTTCATTTCAATTTTAATTGCGGTACAGTCAAACTGCCGATAGATGTTCTCTTGCGAGCAACTTTGCAATATTGTGACAACCGCCCCGATTACAATGTTGACTACCAAATTGCTCGGAGCAAGTTGCAAGGGCTTTTGACAACTTGCCTTTTGGGCAGCAATATTCTCCGAACAATTTGGTAGTCAACATTCCAATGTTGTGGCGCAATATTGCAAAGTTGCTCGCAAGAGACACTATCTTATTTATTTATAACATTTATTGAGTATACTACTATATTACTGGCTAAACAATAAATATGGTACAGCACATATGTTACGAAAACCAAACTGACAAAAAAACAAGGCAACACAATTATAGATAAACTCAAACGGAAGAGCACATATACGGAACAAGAAGTCCTACGCAAGGCGTTCCCCGTAATTACTTTAACTATAACTAAAGATAGGACAAAACCACTTAATGGGCCCTAAATATAGAACATTTATATATCAGACTGACTGTAATTATAAGTATACGCGGAATCTCGCCTGAGCAAGGGTGGGTTGACTACAAAATGTTTGTAGTTCGCTATAACTACAGCTACTTCAAAAATATGTAGTCAGCTACAACTACTGCTACCTTTGAACAAAGGTAGTTCGCTATTGAGTCTGACTACAGCTACTGCTTAAAAAATGTAGCGAACTATTTCGCTATTTCGCTACGCTATATTTTTTAGTTTTACTGTATTTGGAGCATCACTAACTCAGGCTGTAATGTACGTAACCTATAACAAATCGACTTACGAGTGGCAACAGTAAACACAAACTTAAGCAACATTTTTATTGTAAGCACTATACAGTGTGCAAATTGACCATTGAGTATTGATTTTAAGCAAACCGTGTCTCAATATCATGCTATTCCTATCAAGTTGCTAACAATTTTAAGAAGTAGCGAATAGCGATTCGCTGTTTGAAAAGTAGTCAACTACTTGGCTACTTTTAGGCAAATTGTAGTTCGCTATAACCACAGCTACTGTTTTGAAAAAGTAGTCAAAAACTACTGGCTACTTGAAAATTGTAGTTCGCTACAGTAGCGAACTACAACTACTTTGCTACTACCCACCCTTGCGCCTGGGACTAACCAACTGAAAGTTATTAATGTGGGAAGAGGTTATTTCGCTGGCCTCAAGAGTGACAAAACGTAACAAAGCAACGGTTTTAATGATACTAACCCTACTCCAAACACCAACTCTAACCCTGACCCTAATCCTTACCCTAACCTAAACCAATTTTGAAGAAAAACGTTTTGACGAAATGTCACGGCTGAGGTCAGCGAAATAATTGATGCCGAGAAGGTGATTGTGCTCTAAAAGGGCGTAAGCTATGTTTTTGATTTGGGAATTGTTTTATTAAAACTGCATGTAATTAAAAAAATTTAATTAAATGGACGGTGAAGCAAGGTACCAGCGGCATGCCAATAAAAAAATTTACACAACAATGGATCTGTTCTGAAAAGCCTGCATATATTTACTGGCGATTTTCTACATTTTCAAAAATGTGGAAAATACATGCAGGAAATTGTACATCATATATAGAGCAATAATCAAACAGTTGGAAAATGGTAACAAACATTTCATCAATTCTGTAATTAAATGTATAGTTTACTATTATATCTATATTCCATAATTCCATATAAACTATATTTATTTCTTAACTAGTTACTTTATTAACTTGGACTGGCACCACATATTTTAGTGAATCAATTTCAATTTAGAATCTAGGGGTCTTAAATAAAAGTCTCATGGTTTCTAGAAGGCGCCTAGCCCACTTCTTGTAAATACTTTATTTTTTAGATTTATTGATGTAATCTTTTTTGGGGGCGAACAGTTAAATAAAAAAACCAAAAAAACATGACGTGACTACTGTTGCTACGGCAACAATGATGATTCAATATTGACGATATTCTGGCTTTTTAACGAAGTTTACTTTAAAAAAAAAAACGCCTGGTTAATCCCATTGTTTATTTCAGTAAACATTTTCCTGTAATATCTGTAGAGACCGCGCGTGAGAAGGGTTCAGGGGCCGGTTGTATAAAAAGGTGATTAAAGTTAACTATAGTTAGTGGAAACGTCATCCAATAAGAAGCGCGTATTTGAGAGTTAATCACTATTTAACTACAAAATAGTGATTAAAAAGTGATTAAGAGTTTTATACAACCGGCCCCTGGATACGAGACTTTCTTTCAGTGTCACAATCTCGAACAAATGAGCCTGCAATCACCTGTGGAAGCGCAAAGGATTGCAGGCTCAGGGTTCGAGATTGTCAGTGCCACAAAAATGAAAATCGGTAGAACCCAGGGATTTACCGAAAGGTTGATATCCCCTAACAAACGTTCCACTCTGCCGATAATCTTCAATAAACATGCAGAACTTAAAGGATTAGTGTCACACCAGGAATTCGCGGGCTCAAACTCCTGCTGGCGGCCATTTTTCGGGACGAATAGATTAGATGATCTGGAAAGTTTTTACAATCCGTCATATATTTAAACCATCCTTTTCTAATCCTTGCTCTTTTTGTGTGATTTTTATCAGAAATGTACCAAACAAGGTATTTTTATCGCTATTTGTTGTATTTGAGTAAAATGTAAACAATAACAAAAGCCCGCAATGCATGACCCTGACACTAATCCTTTAAAACTATTGAGACTGATACTAAAACAAATCGGCATCATTTAAAAAAAATAATAGATAATTACTGAAAGTTTAAACATTGCAACTAATACTGGCGAACCGATTAATATATACTCCTCCAAAGGCCGGTGAAATCTAAGTGGATTCACAATCAAAGTATCAAACTTAATGAATCATCTATGTTCAACGAAACGTAAAAAAATCAGTGTTTTTCATACTTGCCACAATTTGTCCATTTTGTAAAGTTGAAGATGTTGCGTAATACCAGTGTAAGGAAGACTTTTCGATGGGCCCAGTTTGCCGCCTTCATTCAGTATTTGTCCCGTCATTTTGATTGGTGTGAAGTACCAAATTTTAGCTGCATATAAACCTAGGAATAATAAAATTTAAAATATCATTAATAATTCATAAACCTTGTGGCAAATCAGGTCAGCCATAATATGTCACGTGGAGTGACTTATATCTAATAAAGCATGAGGCATTATATAATTGTTCATCCTAGTTAGTATGATTATATATGGTTCATCCTAATTAGTATTCTTTTGTAGTCGTATTTTAAGCCATTTAAAGCACTTGTAGTTGTGTTTTATCAGATATAAAACGCTCGGCTGCGCCTCGCGTTTTTCATATCTGATAAAACACTTCTACGCGTGCTTATAAATAGTACATAATACATAATGCATATTTTTCCAGTTTTATTATATTTTGCCATTAGGCTGTCGCAAGAGACTTGATGGTTTGGGGTCTGGATCTGGGCATGAAGTATATGCAGTGTTGTAAGAATAACCAAAAAAAGTTATCAGTAAAAATTACAATTATATACTTCTTTTGAAAAGACTGTAATTAAAAATTACGTATTACTTTCCTATAAAAGTAATTAATTATGAATTACTTGTTAAAAACTGACCAGAAGGACTAATTTGGTCATTGATCTCTTTTATTTACGCTTTAAGTCCAGATCAGAAACCAAAACTGGGTGAGTATGAGTGCGGGTTTCGCATTATGAGCTACGTGGTAAGACCCGGAATATAAAATTTTGAAAGTTGGAATCTTGGAATCTTAGAATTTTTTATATAAAGACGGCCTTCACTCATAATACTTATTTGCCAAGATCTCTTCACAAGATTCCTTGACATTTCTCTAAAATAATTAATTGACCTGTGCGTGTGTGCGTGTGCGTGTGTGTGTGTGTGTGTGTGTGTGTGTGTGTGTGCGTGCGTGTGTGCGTGCGTGTGTGTGTGTGTGCGTTGTGGCAGGGATAATTTTTCACAGGAATTTGCACTATTTGTGTTTCAATTGATTTTCACCCGTATTATATTTCAAGGTGAATAGAATTACACTCAAGCTGGCGACAAATAGTTACGCAAATATGGAAAGCTGTTTGAAATTTCTACCAAATAAAAGTTACAATACGTTTGGTTTGGTCGTTCTTACTCTATTTGTGTCAATCGGCGTGGTTATCATTGGGATCGCGTCTGATTTTGATTCGAAAGCGACGTTACAATGTAACCCAGACAAGACCCTCGCGAGCGATTTGTCAACAAGGAAATACATCGAAACTCAATGTCTTCTCAAATATACACAGGAATTTTACCTTTCTTTGCCTCTTTATGCCTTATTTGTGATGAATTTTGGACTTGTGCTCGTACTTAGTATTATCTACGCTTATCTGGTGAAGCGTCGTGTGGAAATCTTTGCGAGCCCTCCGAATGAAACGGCAGCGAATAACGCCGAAGACGAAAGCCAGCCACTGTCACAAGCAGCGTCGGATCCGATGGCGCACCAAAGTTCACGCAATTATTTTGTTTTCACGGTATATATTTCGCATTTGATCATTTGCCGTATATTGCCGCTCGTAGTATTTGGAGCTTTGCTGTTAAACTCAATGAATTTTCCTGTCCACTTTCTTTGTCAATGGCCAATGAACTCTAAGAGTACTACTACACATGTAAACGTAACACAAAATACGAACTTTTCAATTGTGGACTGCACTTACCCCATGGGCAGCAAAAATGAAAAAGTTGCGGCGACCGTCATAACAATAAATTTCCTTTTCGGTACAGAAGCATGCATTGAGCTTGCTTATCTGTTGTGGTCAACATGGAAAAATCGTACTCTATTGGCTGACGTGGAGTTTTGTTGTGTTTACCTCTTGAGAAAGCGCAAAAGGATCAGAAAAGTAATTAAAAACATAAGAGAGAAGGCATTGGATGACACATTCTATTTGCATGATGATTTTGGTGAGAAACACTTGTCACGTCGAAAACTGGAAGAGATTTATATCAATGTCATAATTCAGACGGGAAGGGAAAGCACCTGGACGTCCAGAAGGCGGTTTAAAAATAGGCATGAAACATACGAAGCACATTTACAAGCACCGAATCATGCAATCGCTCTCAGCGAAACAGCAGATTTGTTTAAATTAACGGCAGGTTTTGGCAAAAACGGTACCAAAACTATTCTTGTTGTCGGCCGGCCTGGTATTGGCAAAACTCTCCTGACGAAAAAAATATTGCATGAGTGGCAACAGCAATCGTGTGATTTCTGGCATGGTAAAATAGTAATTTTAATACAATTTCGTACTTTTAACCATGGAAGAACAAGTCTTCGAGAAATGTTAGAATATGCTGTTGGGCTGGATATGTCAATGGCTGATTTTAATTGTACATACGAGCACCTTTGTTTGACACCAAGTGATTTTGTTCTTATTTTTGACGGGTTGGACGAACTCAAGGTTGATTACAACAAGCCTTTCGCCGAGAAGTCTGTAAATATTCCAAGTAAAGTTGAAGATGTACTCCAGATTTTTAAACAGCTTGTGAAAGGCAAACTGTTGCCAGGAGTCACAGTGTTAACCACATCTCGTCCCACGGCAGAACACATTTATAAAGAACTATCATTTGATCGAGAGGTTGAAATTTTGGGTTTTCATGAGGAGCAAATAAAGGACTACGTTGAAAAGTTTTGCCGTAATGATATAGATAAAAGTACAAAGTTGTGGAACGATATCAAACAGTCCCCTGAGCTTTTTAGCTTAAGTTACATACCTGTTAATTGCTATATAATTTGCTTAACATTAAAGGAAAGTATTGATACTGCTGAATCAAAAGAAGGCGTAGGTCAGGGCTTCCAGAGCGATGTCCCAATATTAACAATTACAGAGTTGTACAAAAGAGCTATAAAGATTTTACTGTTCAGGCACCATGTAAATTACAAAGATAAACCAATTCCAAAGGATTATCTTATCACGAAGCTTCCTGAACAGTTTCAAAATGACTTGAATAAACTTAAAGAAATTGCCAGAAATGGAATGATAGAAGATCAGTTGGTGTTTGAGTTTAAAAGTGGTGATGAATTAGCAGATTGTGGCATAATTAATCAATTGGACGACAAACGCCGTAATATCTTCTCCTTTCTTCATCTAACTCTTCAAGAGTTTCTTGCAGCACAACACGTGGTTGATGACATGGACAATGTTGAATCTTTTTTAGCTGAGCACATTCATAATCCAAGATGGCACTTGGTGATTCAGTTTGTTGCTGGTTTGATTGGGGATAAAATTAGAGAATTGGAAGAAGAAAGAAGTTCAACAGAAAGGTATCGTTTCATTTTTGTCTCCGTCCGTTTAATTGCTTGCTGTACAATGCTGCAAAGTATCATCTCGCTTTCGGCACGAGTTGGTAAATACGATACCAAATGCGGTCGCTCATGTTGTAATTGTACTGATAAAATTCATGAATAATTAATAACGCTACAAACAAATCACGACGCGGTATTTAGGTCACATGCGATCTTGTAAATCGTCATTTCTCCGCATCTTATATATTCCTTTGTCTTATTATTATTAGACACTATTTTAAGGTATCAACACTTTACAAAGTTATATAGAACCGGGATTGAGTTTGGGAGGAAAAAGCAAAATATGAAAATATTGTGTTAATATTTTACTCGTCTTAAATTAAAATACCATTGGTCTTTTACCGGCTATGCAAATGATTTTATCGCTTCGCTGTAGTTGTTGTTGTTTGTTATGACAACTACAACATCAAGTTCAACCGATCAAAAAAATTGCGTACATCCCGTCGTTCTCTGCGCTCCTGTAAACGCAATGGAGATACTTCATGTAAACATATGTTTGTGCATGATGTTGTCTCTGACTGTGTACACACCTGGCAAGCTAAAAAGTTTCTTTGACCGCGGTGGGAATCGAACCGCGACTTTTGGTTTGCTATACCAACTGAGCTACGAGGTCAAGACGTCAATTCGAGTAGGTGATATTTCGAAACTCAATCTAATTTTGTCGATATCAGTTTGTTTTTACGATCTTGCCCGGTGTGGACACAATCAAAGACAACATCGCAAACATATATCTTCACCTGAGTGCATAACACCAGAAACAAAAAAAATCATAGAAACATTTTAAATATAGGGCCGGGTCTGGGAACGATGCAAAGTGTTCTGTATTGGTTCGTACAGAATTTTATTTGCATTATCATTTCAACAGATTTACAAGGGTGCTCTACGTAGTGCGTAGTTTTGCCTTCTCGATAGGACAAAAACATTAAAGACTGAATTATTAATTAATTGATGAATTTTATAAGTCATAGCATTACTCAATATCAACGTTGTTAGCGCGAGTCTTTTTTTATGCTTCTGAACTTTTCGTTGTTAATATTAGATCAACACAGCTTACGAAAGATGAAAGAATAATAGAACGCATATGCACAAGGTACGTACGTTATTGTTATCATATTAACTGGTATATTAAGCATGCGCGTTATGCGCCAAAAATTAAGCACAGTGAATTTAAATTTTAAACCCCCCAAATGGCACTTTCGTTTCCACCCCCGGTTCCACAAAAAATTGGAAACTGTTGCCTTCGCTGAAAAGACGTTTAAAAGAAGTTGAAATAATATCGCCTTTCCATTTGGTAAAACATCAATTCAGTTATCTTATATATCACTCACCTAGATTTCATGACATGATGCCAAGGGAGGCAAAGATAAAAGATCATGACAACACTTTATTTGTGATAAAATGTGTACACGAAATGCAAGATGTTGGTACTATGGAATTAATTACGCCATTTGGATGTGAAGATGATAGCGAAAAGTATAATGAGTTTCATTTGGAGCGCTTAACAATTGTGCCAGTGGAATCTATTGCCCTGTTTGCATTTCTTGGTTACATAAAGCACTTGCACACTCTCAGCATCACTAATTGTATGATCAAGCATTTCGCTTTTTTTGAATTGACGAAGTTACTGCAGAAAGAAAATGAAATCGCCGATTTAGACAATGCGCTCTGGAATGAAAATTGCAAAGTTACTCGGTTACGCATAAATAGTAGTTCCTTAACTGCTGATAATGCTAAATATTTAAGTGATGCTCTGACGAGTAACAACTGCAAACTTACTGCATTAAACATTAATTTCAATCAAGTAAGGGATGAGGGAGCGAAATATTTAAGTGATGCTCTGAAGAGTAGCAACTGCAAACTTACTGCATTAGACATACGTTTCAATGGATTAACAGATGAAGGAGCGAAATATTTAAGTGATGCTCTGAGGACTGACAACTGCAAACTTACTACATTAGACATTAGGGCGAACGATTTAACAGATGAAGGAGCGAACTATTTAAGTGATACTCTGAAGAGTGGCAACTGCAAACTTACTGCATTAGACATAAGTTTCAGTGGATTAACAGATGAAGGAGCGAAATATTTAAGTGATGCTCTGAAGAGTGGCAACTGCAAACTTACTGCATTAGACATAAATTGCAATGGATTAAAAGATGAAGGAGCGAAATATTTAAGTGATGCTCTGAGGAGTGACAACTGCAAACTTACTGAATTAAAAATTGGTGCGAATACATTAACAAAAAAAGGAGCGAAATATTTAAGTGATGCTCTGAAGAGTGACAACTGCAAACTTACTGAATTAGATATTGGTTGGAATACATTAACAAAAAAAGGAGCGAAATATTTAAGTGATGCTCTGAAGAGTGACAACTGCAAACTTACTGCATTAGACATAAGTCACAATGAATTAACAAATGAAGGAGCGAAATATTTAAGTGATGTTCTGAAGAGTGACAACTGCAAACTTACTGCATTAGACATAAGTCACAATGAATTAACAAATGAAGGAGCGAAATATTTAAGTGATTTTCTGAAGAGTGACAACTGCAAAGTTACTGTATTAGATATAAATCACAATGAATTAACAGATGAAGGTGCGAAATGTTTAAGTGATGCTCTGAAGAGTGACAACTGCAAACTTACTGCATTAGACATAAGTCACAATGAATTAACAAATGAAGGAGCGAAATATTTAAGTGATGTTTTGAAGAGTGACAACTGCAAACTCACCGCATTAAACATACGTGGCAATAGATTAACAGATAAAGGAGCAAATTGTTTAAGTGATGCTCTGAAGAGTGACAACTGCAAACTTACTGTATTAGACATCAGTTGGAATAAATTAACAGATGAAGGTGCGAAATATTTAAGTGATGCTCTGAACAGTGACAACTGCAAACTTACTGAATTAGACATAAGTACCAATGGATTAACAGATGAAGGAGCGAAATATTTAAGTGATGCTTTGAAGAGTGACAACTGCAAAGTTATCGGCATTAAATATATTTGACAATGGATTAACAGATGAATTAGAAGCGAAATGTTTAAGTGATGCTCTGAAGAGTGACAACTGAAAACTTACTGTATTACACATAAGTAACAGTACATTGACAAATGTAGAGAGGAAATATTTAAGTGATGAATTCTGAAGAGTGACAACTAGAAACTTATTAAATTAGACATAAGTGGACAATATATTAACAGATCAAGGAGCAAAATGTTTAAATTGTTGTTATTCAACCAAAATAAATTAATTTATTTGGAAATTTTATCCTCTAAGTTTGATTAATGAAATGAAGTCGGTACATCCGAACATGTACATGACACCAGAAACTTTGACAGTGTAATATATAATTAAGCTTCTTTAGTCATGCGTTCTTAATCATGCGTAATTAACACCGCGGAAAAACGTCCGCGCATGCGTCAACATTACTGAAATCTGTATTGCGAACGTGATGTCAAGCGTTCCGAATGTTGTCAAAAACTCAAAATCAAAGCGACTTCGATGTTTTGCCTTTTCTATAAAAATACAAGTGGGGTAATGAACGTAACAACCTAAAAACTACGAATAATTATAGTCTATATGTGCAAGAAGTAGTATTATGCAAGAAAATAAACCAAAGGTGACTGTCGATAAATTTATTGTATAAAACGTTCTTTAACTGAACAATACAAACATATTTTTCGCGGATTCATATGATCCACATTTTTGCCAATAACTTTTTTTGCGTAGCATGTATAATTTTTGCGTTGACTATATTTAAGGGTAATGATTTACTCTACAATTTAATCGTGCGCAAATGCTTAACTATTCTATAGTGTTCTTAACTTTTCTGCTTTAAGTTCGATATTCGACAATTTTTCAAGAAATGTTGGCACGTCTCCCGGTCTTAAACGGTAATTTTTAATTTAAATTCTGTTTCATTTTAGTCATTTTAGATTTTAACTGTTAAAATCTTTTTATTCATGTCTAAACTATCCGTCTAAACTATCTCTTTACATTAAATCATTAAATAACCATGTTTTTGTTTACAATTTGGCATTTAAATTCCTTTTTTTGTGCCCCACGGATGCGCAAACAGTTTTCTGGTATACATACAGTCTGAAGTCACTCAGAAATGTTAAGGTTGCTATGAACAGTGATAATTATTATTAATGTTGCAATTTGAACATTTTGACACTGAAAATGAGAACGTGGTCATTATGGTGATGTGCCTTGTGTGAATAAATCAAATGCTAAAACAAACCAGGTTATGATCTTGAATCTTCTTCATCATTTGAATAATTTAAAAATGTATTTGGAGTAAGTTTAACTTAATGTTTAAGTTCCCTGTTTAAGAAATAAAAACATACGAGTCTTCTTATTTCATGGGAATATCCTGAGTCTGCAATCACGGCTTCAATTTTTGAATTGTAGAATAATTAGATGCACTATCTAGTGTATATAAGATATCTATAGTTTTTCCGCGGTGTTTGTAAAGTCAAATTTCATTTGATTTTTCATAAAACTTTACAATTATATGAACTTTGTACAGTAAAATTTAGTTCAACTTACAACTTAGCTAAAAACTCTCTCCCGTCAGTTTTTACTCATGATAAACCTTTGGTACTATTTAGAGAAACTTTTTCAATTGAGTAAGCCCATTTTCAAGTCATGATATTCAAAATGAGAACAGATTATTAAAGTTTTTACGTTCTTCACAATGGATCTAAATTAATTTTGCTATCAAGAAAATTATTTTTCCTATATAACTTGAAAGGTATTGTGTCCTACACCTTTTTCAACGAGTTTCAGAAGGTTTTGAACAATAATAAATAATAAGATTTGGAGCGGCCATATTTCTGCGACCTTATATGTTATCTAAGAACTGGCATATTTAGAAAGGATGAGAGGGTCACTAATGGCCGATTTCTATGTAGACAAGTATTTCCGTTTCTTCAATAACCCGCAGAAACCGCAAGAACTTCGTCTAGCACGTCAGTAACACGACAGTATAGATATGTTGTCAAAACAATATGGCCGCCATCGACTTCATTCAGTAGATGCGCTATCCAGTTCTAATTTTCAGGTCAGTGAGAGTAAAAACCCATTCTCACTCTAGCCCGCGTGCAGGCCCAACGGAAGAATAGTGGGCCTGCACGCAAGCTATTTTCACTCAAGAAAATCTTCCATGGACAAAAAGTTCTCGGAAGATATCATTGTTAAAAGTTGAAAATTTTCACCTTCAACATTTTTTTCCGACGGAAAATTTGTGTCAGCCAATCCTATTTTACAAAATTTTCTTTCTGCGGAAAATTTCCTGAGTGGAAATGGGCTTAATTTGAGGCCTGCATTGATGTATTCATAGAGTTGTAGTGGAGATCCAGTTTGATCGTTGAATGATACAGACTGATTGAAATGAAGAATGAGCTATTGAAACGTTTGATGTTACGTTAGATCGTTAGATGTGCAAATGTATACAGTTCGTACTTTTTAAAATTGAATTAATAGTGAACGTATCTTTTAATACACCAACCATGATAAACGAGTTGAGTTTCTTTTTGGTGATCAAATCAATTCGGCATTTTTGATCCTCAAGTTGAGCATGAAAACGTTTAAGCTATCAAAAGTTTGTTTTTTTCAAAGTATTTTCCGTGATGCATTGACCACAGAGACTGTGACAGTGTAATTAACAATGCGTAATTAAGTAAACTTAACTAGTCATATGCATGTTTTGTTCATCATGCGTAGTTAAAGACGCGTAATTATGTACGCGTATTTAACCATACGCAATTATACTCATGTGCAAATTAACCATGCTAATTATTCGTAGAGATATAATAATACAAATTTTCTTACCTTCAATGCCTTGTTTTAGGTTCAGACGTTTTTTGACCAATGTTTAAACAATCAGTCAATCACTAAATATGAAAAACAAAACTATAATTAGTACACGTTATGAAATCAAGACTTCGTTTTAATGATGAAGATGAGCTAAACTGATTACAATGAATACAGTTTGGTAGACCTAGTTACGACGGCCAAATTAACTGTCTGGTGTTTCTTTGTCTATGTCATCACGAAATGCTATGACACCGGTCGAAAAAAGGAGGAAATAGAATCTATATACTTCAGCCTAGTTTCCATTTGGTCGTTATGTGAAATAGTCTAATA